CAGGCACCTGCCAGCCAGCCCTTTCAGCCCCCGGGGCAGAACTAAGTCCATCTCTCCCCGGTAACAGCCACAACCATGATGGTCTGTTTTGCACACTGCTCCTAGCACTCTGGTCAGTCTGCCTGGGAGCTGCCCCTCATGTTCCTGACTCCTGTCAAGGTACTAGGGTGCAGTGTGTAGCCCAGTTCCAAGATCTGAGTGCTAGGTGCCAACCCCAGTCCCTTCCCACTGCAGCCCCATGGCCTCTGACTGTCAACATGGCTATGCCTACCAGAGAGACACATCTGATCTGTCGCACAGACACACATGGACGCATACGTGCAGCTGTGGAGTCTACTGCTCACTAGCAGGTGTGGTGGCTGAGACCCCAGCACTTAGGAGGCAAAGGCGGGAGGACTATGAGTTCAAAGCCAGTCTGGGCTACTTAGTGACACTGTCTCAAAGAATCCACTTATGACCGTGAGCATACTTTTTCTATTCTGTGTTGTTAACGAACATTTAGGAGCTAGTACTGACCCTTAGTGACAAGCACTTTGGTGGCCCAGCTTGGTGTGGGGGCCAGGTGGCACTGTAGTAGCACTAACGGCCTGTCTTGCACTAAGGGAACGTGTTGTCCTTCCACTGGAGGCAAGTTGTCTGCCCTGGGCATTCAGGCCTGTACCCCCATAACTGGCACAAAACACATGTTGGTTCCCACAGGGTAGCCAAGCCACAGAAGACCCAAAGGGCAATCTGGACTTCCCTTCAGAGGGAGCCTCTTCCCCAGATGCCTTCTAGATCTCTCACAGTGGGGGAGGGGCAGAACAGAAGCAGAGAGGGTAAAACAGAAGGCTCCCCAGCTCCTCTCTGATCACAGGCCACTTCTCCCATGGGTACCCATATTGGACAGACCCTGGTCCCTCTTCCTATATCTGCTGGTGGCATAGCCCTGCCTGTGGCATCCTCACAGGCCCTCCCTCATCCAGGGGCCTTGAGCTCTAGTTGAAAGCCTGTTACTCTCAGGGAGGCTGGATGGAGGACCTGCTGTCTGTTTGAGAGGCTCAGCTCAGTTCTGCTATAAAAGAAATTCTTGGTGACTTCAAGGGAGTGAGGCAGATAGAGCTGAGAGAACAAGGGGGAGCTCAGCTTGCTTCAAACTGGGGCTGGCCGAGGAAGGAAGAGGGTGTGGAGAGAAAGGGATGGTTACTTGCTGGCCTCTGGCCCATCATGCATGGTGACCTTGCCAAGGGCTGAGAAAGTCATGGTTTGGGGACACTCGTGGCTGCTTGTTCTGGGAGCATCATTCCAGGGATCAGACAGGACACTAGGTAGCAGGGCTGGCACAGAAGTCACAGGGGTGCTTTGTCCAGGAGGATCTTCTCTGGGAAGGTCTTGTCTGGAGCCAGTGGTGAGAAGGACTCTGTGGAAGGGGTCATCTGAAGCAGGTGAACACGGCATCTGCAAGCTTCCCACTGGGTTAGGAAGCCTGGGTCTCTTTCCCCTACGCTATGTGTGCCTCTGCCCTTAACCTCTCTGAGCCTCCATTTGTTGCCCCATAAAATCAAAGATTGCTTCTCTGAATATGGACGGTGGAGGTCTGGCCCAGCCTGCCTGTGCTGGCCTGGCACAGACTCAGCAACACCTCCTTACCTAGAGCTCCCAGGCACCTGGTCACTGAAGCAACACCAAAATCCATTGGCTTGGCCAAGTGTGAGCCAACTTAATGATTAAACCCAGCATGCAGTTTGAATTCAGTATCTCCTCCAACCAGCACCTGTGGATGAACTATAGCGGCGCATAGGCAAGTGTCTGGAATGCTTTGGAGGGAGGGGAAGGGGAAAGCTCTTCTACCTACGCCATCCTGAATGCTGCCCTCCCCCATTTCAACCTGCTATATTTGTTATTTTCCTCTTACAAAATCCAGGTTAAGACTGGCAAGAGGAAGAGCAAGGCCCACATGGCATTAGGAATCTGACAGGTCTCAGTCAGCTGAGTTCCAGCTTTGCTGCAGTCTGTGTTTAACTTGTTTTCCAGTTCTTAACCTCCCTGTGCCACCTTCCTCTGTAAAATGGAAGGGGACAGTGCCTTAGAACTACATCTGGAAAGGCAGGGCAAAGCATACAGTAGGAGCTTAGCAGATGCAAGGGCCCCTGCTGACCCCTGCACACTCCTGGGCCAAAGGTATTTATTCAGCTGAATATGTTGGTACAGTTTGCAAGAGCTGTCGAAAGGCTTCCCACCACCACTCTCAGGGAACTCAAATTTCTTTGGCATTTCCTTATTATACTCTATAAGCAAACCATGTGCAAGGTAGGATAACCAGTAGTAGTTGTCTAAACCACAGGAGACACCTGATAAATGTTATCTAAGCCTGTGTTGGGAGGATCCCCCCTCCCTGTCGGGAAGAACAGAGGACTTTGGAGCTAAATAAACCTGGGTTCCAATTCTGGCCTGGATAACTCCAGCAACTGTGTGGGTTGGGACAAGTCATTTGACCTCTCTGAGCCTTGATTTCTCATCCATAAAATAGGGATGATGATCCTGCTGTGCAGGGTTGCCTGGAGAACTAAATTTGTTCATTAAGTTTCTTGAACATCTACTATGTACTAGCCAGTACTCTGGGTACCCAACATACTGCAGTGACCAAACAGACACATGTCACATGGTGATGTATGCACAGGAGAACCACAAAGCAGGGAAAGGGGGGCAGGGATAGGGCAGAAGCAAGACCCAGACTGGAGCAAGGGACCTGAGGGAAGGAAGGGGAGCCATGTGGGGGTCGGTGTAAGACTGTGCCAGGCAGTAGGATAGGGGAGTACAGGAGCCTTAAGGAGACATGTGCTTGGTGTGAAATGCAGCCACACATGCAAGGAGCCTGGCGTAGAATCCAGGTGCTCAGCAAATGCCAGCTATCTATTTCGAGTCCTGCGGAATGAACCCCACACATGTGTCCCTTTCCTGAGAGGGGGGGCAGAGGCATCTTCAGGACAAGCTGGAGCCAAGAGTTCCTTCAGCCAAAGAGGCACCATTTGTGCTCCACCACTGGGTTCTGAGCCTGTGCCAGATACCAGGGTCTGGGATGGGCAAGCATGGGTACAGGGTGATCAACGCATGTGCCCTGTCCTCGTGGAACCCTTATGCAGAGTTACAGTGTCAAGTGATGGTAGTGTGTGTCCTGGCAGCAGAGGGTGGGTTGTGGGTGGTTAGGGAAGACTTCCTGGAAAAGGTGGCCCCTGAGCTGGGCGTTAAGAGATGGACTGTACAAGGAAGGATGCTCCAGGTGTGAGGGGCTGAGCAGGGAGGTTTATGAAACCTAAAGCAGGCAGATCTGAACAATACACAGTCCTTGGCATTCTGACATCTGCTACCACCGGCCTCTGCTTCCTCTCACCTGGTACAAGATCCAGCCCCTCATGAGAGCAGGAAGCTCCCAAATCAGACACAGCATGGGGTGACCTGCCTTGACCCTAAGCCCCCAGCCTAGACCATCTGCCCACAGCACCAGTCTCCAGGAACATGTGGCCACCAAGGAGTGTCTGTCTCTTCCCTCATGCCAAATCTCACCCACAGGTGGCAGAATAGCTTTTTTTTTTTTTTTTTTTTTTTTCTTTCTAGAATAGCACAAACATTTCTGAATTAAGAAACTGAGTATGGAATGATGGAGAGGTGTCTTGCTCTGGGTCTTTTGGGGCCGTTATCTCTGCTGCCGACTGAGATCTCCCCAGATGGGTGAGTCAATCTCTCCACCTCAATAACAGCCATGTACATAGAAAGCAGATGTCACCCTCCAGTACAGACCAGGGTTCCCCTGCCACCTCTGCAGGTGACCAGCTGGTGACTCTCCATCACTGAGAATTGGCAGGTTCTGTGTAGCTGTCTGAATGCTGGCCAGGAGTTTATTAACAGAAGGGGCTGGATGCTCCTTCCATAGGCCTTGGGCCTCTGCTAGTACTGACCAGACAATCCCCCTCCAGGAAGGAGGGTAACTGCTAGAGGAAGGGCTGTGGGATGTCAGAGCAGAGATGGGGAGGTCAGCAGTGGTCCTACAACCTGGCACTAAATTTGCATCAGAGCTTCTTTACTAAGCTG